ATAAAATACATCATTTATACAACCGAGTGGGACGTAAACTTACCTTTAGGGTTACGACGGGCCCACAAAGGCAGTGTAGACGATTATTCATTCTTTTTGTACTGATAAGAAAAATAAACGATATCTGTACATAAAAGGTTCAATTATGACTGTACAGCCAATGAACGTCTGGACCCAAGGCGTAGGTTAAGACGACGACATATGTGGAAACTGCTTCGGAAGACCGTTTGATACAAAGATACGTGCCTGATGACGAACCTCGTGACGCCGAAACATGTAGCGCAAGTGTGATTAGAATTGTAATTGTGTTGACGGTAATAAACCTTGTATGTACTTTAAGCTTAGATTCAGTAAGACAATCGCCAGGAAACACAGAACAGAAAGAAAAATGGAAACAGCAGGGCCTCAGTGTGTTCAACCCTTTGTTCAACACATCCTGTAAGGACCTTCGTGGTCCCGAACACAGGTCCACTCGGATGAGTTACGTGTGTAAGTCAGGAGCTGCAAAGTACGTGAGGTCACTTAGACCATGCACGGAGTCATGACCACGTTGTAAAGTTTGACGCTGGACTTTGGAACTATTTGTCTCACATCACTATCTGACATTACTATCTCATTTTAAAGACGATTATATATTAATTTACGTATTAGTTTGGCATTAAAAATGGACGTCACCGCGTATCCTCAACATTCGGAGGACATACGAAATGTCACACGTATCCTTGAACCAAGGACATGCGGTTTGTAACGCTACCCCACTGTTAGGAATGCAGCGACCGACCACTAAATTCCACGTCTTCCTCACAGCTTGGACGATGACGTCACTGAACGCGCAATATAAGACCTGGCATTCAACACAAAATTACATTTTAATGTAGGATTTGAGGTTTACAAGCCGGTGAGTCCGAAGATGGCTGTATTCTGCGTTGTAGCGATAACCCCTGATGATGGAGGCAGCAAGAACCTCTGAAACGTTGATAAACTTCTACTAGTCTCCATGGGGCTACAATCCAGAAGGCATCCATCTTCGGTGTAAGTTTTACTTTAACTGTAAAGTGCAACGTGGATGATTATTTAGGGTTGTCCACATTTTTTATTCCTTCGGGCCAAGAAGTATTCCCGTTGGACCCAAGGACCTCGAGACCCCTTCTGGTACTATTTTTAAAAATTAATAGCCGATTTTCTTTGTATTTAAGAATACGTATTCATAAATGACAAATTAATGAAACAATTTTAGACAGCTGCTGTATTAACTGCTCATGTAATATCAAATAAGACGCCCGCTAGGATTTTATGGGTCAATGTAGAATTCATTTTAGTCAATTAATCTTTATTTCTTTACGAGAGGCACGCGCAAATGTAATTAACCACCATCACAAGGAAACTCGTCTCGTCTTCTGACAGTGATTATTCTGCATGGCATATTATAATTTTCCTGTGTTCTTTCTGTCAGTAATTGTTATCCTACTCTGCAGACACGTCCTACGCCCTCAATCTAGAATGTTTCTCTAGATAATTGACGGGTTCTCGTCTGCATATCCTCTCGAGATTTCCGTCAGTGAGTCTGACTTCAACTTGTAACTCCTCCTATGAGACAGGTAGGTAAAAGATAGATAAGTCGAATGTGATGATGTATTTATCATTTGCGTAAGTGTGTTAGGATTCAGTGTTTATCAACTTGTGGTCTCCGGCTTAATTTACGTATGTCTGAACTTTTTTGTGGTTACGATAACGTTTATAAAGTGTAACAAGTAAGTTCATGAGATCACCATGCTTTCTATCACACGAATTCGTCTGTAATAGTTACTGTAACAGTTATACTGTCTATTGATATCATACATTACGTATAAACGCAAGCTTAAGAGATTACCATATTATCTACCTCGTGAATCTCATGGTAATAACTGAACAGTTGCCAAGAAACGTGGCTTGAAATAGGGCTGATATTTAACCCTGCATAAAATTTACATTTGAACTAATACGTGTATTTCTTGAATAATGAATATAATGTGCGAAGGTAAAGTATTTCCTTCTGCGTACTACTAACAACCGGCAGACCGGTCCGGAAACTCGGTTTGAAGGTCATGACACCCGAGGGTCATTTTGATGTCACATATTTTAAATTCCTACCTCAGAAATACTAACACAGTTAGGGTTCGCGAATGTAGTATCGTTCTCGCTCGCTGAGTGCGCGGTGGAAAGAATTCCTGTTTAAGGTTTTAGAAATTACTGGTCAGAATCTTCCTCAGGCCAACTATCATGACCTAAAATACACCACGGTCGTCACTTTACGATTCATAGTTCATAACATCCTTTAGAGTACCAAAATATATAATAACCTTACGATTTTCTAAATATCTGTAAAAATAATTAATACCATGGGGCAGAATTCTTCTTGAGAAGCTGATAGTATCTAAGCTACCTGTAGTAAAAAGAACCAGAATGTTCATTGCAGTATTCACAAAAGCCTGCACTGTAAAGAATGTGCCTTAATCCGAGGTCCTAGCATTCCATACATAAAGCTTTTCCTAACACTGAAGCTGGAGGACCACCCTTTTTCGGCTGTCTGAAAATGCTTATTATATTCGCAGTCATTCGCCTTATATGGAGCCGTCTCCTGCATCAGGGACCCACTTATTATGGATGCATTACAACTGTTTCAGAATTATTTCTGAATTGTAATAGGGAAGGTTTAGATCGAGGAATTCGAAAAAACATACGAAAATGGAACTTAGTCTTGTGCGCATGTCTGTTAAAATCCCAACCTTCTAGGAGTCATGAGGATATTAAAACTGCGTAACGAGGAACCTGGTCAATTGATGTAATCGTATGTTACATGACTATAAAACATACGTCAGGGTTTTTATATTTCTTACCTTATATAATAATTTATCGAATGGTAATTGTGAAAATTTGGGGAGGAGATTCCAAAATTCTGGGCAAACCTACGGGCGGAAAAACGGCTTCTACATGTGCGTTTGCGTTCAACCGAACGTTATAGTCTAATTTTTAGCATTTTTGCTTCGTACTCGATAGAACGCGGTTTCAAATCTCGGAGACCGACTATCCTGAGTTATTTCGTGAATTTCCTCAGTCCCACCAATCAAATGCCGGATCATTTCCCTTAAATTAGGCCACGACCACTTCCTTCAATATCCTTTGCATTTAATTAGCCATCAATTTTTAGCTATACCCTATAGTCCGAGCTGATAACAGTTTCTTCAAATAAGCCTCAAACACAGGACAACGTAGTCACTATTCGAAATAAATACTACGGACGTGATGATTACTGTCTTCTGGGATAATGGGCGGTGTAATGACCGACGTTTCTGGGGTGCTGTCTCCATCATTGGTCTGATGATTGGGGCAGTAAGCACCTCTGAAATGTCGGTCATTACACCGACCACTATCCCAGGAGACAGTAATCTTCATACTCGCTGCCGCGAGAACCTAAAATCTCACTAACCTGCCCATGGTTTACAGAATTTTAGGAAATCCAACATCGTGTCATACATAGGAACAGTCTCACTCACCTCGCCATTTTTCCCAGACGCAAAGGTCCTCTGCTCCGTCTTCCGGACCATCACCACCCTGCTCAGTCCCGTGTGGAACTCGTGGCCATGCGTTGTACTCGGGATTCTGTTGAGGTCCATGATAGCGGCCGTTGGCAATGCTCTCCTGCCAGGAAGAAATCCTGTGGTCAGTGAACGTCGAGTGGTTGGCATTGACAACATGATGGGAATTACTACTAGTGTAGCAGGAACATAAAGTGAGAACGCGCTCGACCTAGTGGCCCCACTCAACTGCACCAAACTGAGTAACTCCGGGCTCGTACAGAACTGAACCCGTCTCTCTTCAGCGGTCATCCGTATCCGGACCGGCAGAGCTGTAAATGAATGTTATTCCCGACCTGCGCACGAAAATAATCGCTTATGCTTTTGGTTAACACGTAACAGACCAACAATTAATGAGGTCTTCTCCATCCGTCAGATACTAGAGAAAAAAATGGGAGTACATCAATTATTTACAGGTTTCAAAAAAAGCCTATGACTCTGTTAACAGACAAGTGTTATTCCATAATCTCATTGAATTTGGTATACCAAAGAAGTCTAATATAAATGTGCTTAAATGAAACCTGTAGAAAAATTCGTATAGGTAAATATTTATCTGACTCATTTTCCGTCGAGAACGGTCTGAAACAAGGAGATGCTTTGTCTCAATTGCTCTTTAACTTTGCGCTAGAATATGCCATCAGGAGTGACTAGTCTAAGGACTAGACAGGAGCAGTTTGACTCCCACCAGAAATGCAGAATTTATATATTTTCCATAACGTCCCAGACCTCCTCTGGGACCAATTCACATTCCTATAAATGTACACCGGAGCTAACATCTCGCTCCATTTGCAATACGTCTTCATAACGTGAGATATAACAGCAGACACAAGCTTATAACACGTTTTTAGCTTTGACATAGCTTGATTTTACGCTGTTCTTCTCGTGTCACATTTAGCATTAGCGACTGAGAAAGAATAATTTCGAGTCATTATTTTATCAGAGGTTTACGCTTTAAAATAACTCTTTATTTACTCATAAGGACCCCCTAGGGATTTTATCTGCTCTCAAAATGACGTCCATCAAGTTTGTCCGCGTCACTCTTAACAGAGGCTGGGTTGTCATTTCGAAACAAGTGTTCAAGAGACTCTATCAGATTACAAAGCAATTACAATTATACATTACGAGGTGTCATATGAAAGTCTGAAGATCCCAGTTCTGCCACACAATCTTTGCGAAGTCCCTGCTTACATCCTCTGTCTGTTTCAATTGCGATGGTCATATATCTGTGAGACCGCCTTCATGGTATTGACAAGCGAGGAAGCCACGTCCCTATGGAAATGCGGGCACCAGGAGGACCATGACATGACCTCCTTGCTACGAATATGTTCTCCTGAAGATATTTTTCATGTCTTGGTCACGTGACTTCGTCTCTTAAAAAAACAAACCTGGTTCTAGACAAAGAATTACCCTGGACACGGTGTTTACCAGCCACTACGAAAATAGCCACAAAATTGTTTATAAATATGGATGCACAGACGACAGTAGTGTTTGTCAGTAGGTGGGCCTCGAAATTTCGAATTCAAATGTTGTTTACGTTTACCGGTGGTTCTAAAAGTTTGTTTAGACCTATCATCTCATGAGTTTTAACCACTAGCTGCTTCTTTCTTAGGCTGGACAGCGAACTAACCATACATTTCTCATTCTTCGCTGAGTTTGTTCAGAGCTACAAACTGCTAGAGTAGCCTACTAGTCATTTCTAATCTTGGTACCTAATTTTCCTGACACCATCGTCACCTAAGATGAGAGTTTTGGGTAGAAAATATGCAGTTTGATTTTATAGTCAAGTATCTGGGGTTTTGAAGTCGCTCCCTGGGTGGTTTCTCTTAACCTTGTGCACTCTTGGGTTACGTGATATTGTAACTAACCCGTTGGAGCAGATTAAAATCTGTGCAGAGTCAACGCGCGCCTACTCATTCACTTTCCGTTTTCCGTCTTGCGTCTTCTGCTATAATGTTATTGATTCTTGGTCTAGTGGTTTAGTTTTCTCCTCATCACAGTGTCAAAATTGCTTCCGGACCCAGCTGACACCTTGGATAAATCGGTCTAAACGTGAAGCTGACCTCATCTGTGTCTACTTCTGACGTTAATGATGTGTCTCGAAATACGCCCCTCATACATTCTGCCTGGGCACAGAGAAAACTTCATCCTTACCTCTCGGTTGCTAATTGGAGTGATGAGGGAATTAATTCACTGAAGCCAGTTCATCGCCTTCGTCTTTCATTCATGTGTCAATGCGGGCTGTACAAACTAACATACTAACTCAATGTAAAAGACTCCTTGAGAAGCTGATAGTTGTTAACCTATTCAATAAACTCCTATACTTTAAAAGAACCCTAAGGTTCATTACCGTGTTCACAAGAGCCCGCCATCGTCCCCTGTCCTGGTGCGGATGAATCAGTCCAAACCCTGCAACTCTCTTTTTTAAGATGTTTTAAATTCTGTCCTCAATTATTCAGACTTTGGTTCGATCATCCTAATAATAATCTGTGAAGGGTATACAAGTCACAGAGTTCCGATCATGCAGTTTTGCCAACCTCATGCCACTTAATTCCTCTCAGATCTAAACATTCTCCTCAACATCCTTAATCCTTGTTATTGCCTTAACCTGACATAGAAGATTGTAAAATGTTTTAAAATTTTAAATGTCTAGTAAACAGTGAATCGGTTCCTGGCTGTCCAGTAAACGTGGTTCAACGTAAACGGGTTTACATTTAAACTATTAATACCGTGATTTTGATGTTAATGCAAAAGTAACTTTCGGAAAAACTGCATCTGAATAGACGAGTCTGGTGTTTATAAAAACATCACGTTAATCAAGTTAACTGAAAACTGGAGTTTAAGTTAAGTTCATATTTCGACGTCTTCCCAACTGCTAATGTTTCCTAGCTTCATTCTTAGTTAAAAATTCCGTGGGTACGTTCCATAACTTCCGACAAACAGCGATGTTATTTATCTGATTTGAACCATTTTTATAAGAGTAATATCCCGATAGATCTCACCTATCACAGATGAAATTTATTTTACAAATGTTTTATGCATTCCATAATAGACAATGAAGTTTTAAGACAATGCTGCCTCTCGATTTATATAGGAGTTTTAAAATGTCGAACGTAACACGTATTTTTCCACATTTCACTTCACGTGCTTATGAAATATAAAGATTTTGAGCTCTACAGTGTTCTAATAATATTGCTAATATGTGTGTACGTATAAAATTTGCAAAAATCTCGTTGGTAACCGAGAATCTGTATAAGCAGGTCCCGTACGAATTCAGTCAGAACTAAAACACAATTATTTTTTTTTAAGGATTTGAATGAGGGAACAAGTGAAATCGTAGACTGAAATTTTCGCTGGGATAATACAGTTTCATGTCTGCAAAATGTGTCCGACAGAGTAAAATAACAGCTTGCCGTGAAGTACCAATGTTCTGCATTTATGGACAGCGACATTCTTATTTGAACCGTGGCTTTCATGAACCAGGTCATTACACATGAAGAACTGTGGGGGGGGGGGGTCCTTCTGAGAAACAACAGGAGATCTGTAACGTTTCCGATATATAACAGTAGCACTGAAATTCACAATAGCTGGCACATTTTTACGGTCGAAATCCGAATTGTATTTACTAACACAGAAGACGGTGTTCCAAATTTACAACCATAAAGTAGAGCTGTTATACGTAATCCAGACTACCGTACTGTCATACTATCAAAATCCTGGAGGATTAACGAAAGGATTTTCGCACGTAAATAAGATAAAACTCAGTGTTTCAAACGATAATATTAAGGTATATCACAATCTTTATCCCACATGTCGTAAACAGATAATGTTCCAGTAGGAAAAGTGATTATTAAACAGTTTATCAAATCATGTGGGGAAAACGCTGACACCTCGAACATTTGAGTTGGATATCACCTGTAAAAGGTTTAACAGTAAATCGATAAGGTACGTAAATATAGATGATTTGACAGTAACAACTAATTAATTAACTGATAACACATTCCATAGAACAGAGGTCGTCTTCAAACGCTGACAGTTCGTAAGTCTGTAAATAAATTTCCGAATTTAACCCAATTCTAATTTCCGTGTTCAAACAAACTTTCCAACGGCCTCTATATTCAACCACCTGAATCAACTTCAAACCCTCATCTTCCATAGTTGCAATGCACTTGAACTATGCAACATTTTATACAAGTTAATTAGCTGCTGTTTTTTAAATATATACAGCCTTGGCCTAGTGTTCTGTCTCGTTCCCTCGTTGAAAACGCATGGACTGTAGGAAAAATGTAGTTATCATTTAAAACGCGACCCTAAACTGATCACGTACTTCTGTTAAAAAATTAAATTAGAACATTGTCCATCCCCATGTAATAGACAAACCCAACGTGTTCAGTAAAACACCAATGAAGGTCACTTTCGCTACGAACATGGCGTATTCACGAGCAGAACGCGTGTTCATTCTCGAAAAGTCTTCGAAATCGTTTGCCTGCTGTTAGTGAAGCATTAAGCAATACTTATCTTGACAAGATAGTAGCGAACAAGACAACAGACCGACTGGTAACAATTATCGGGACACAGGAAGTGCTTTTATGTGTTCGACAAGATGGCGGACATCCGTTGGAAAGCTGTTTTTTTTCAAGTTCTTAACACACAAAAAATAAAAAATGTTGTATAATGGAAAATTCTGTATCAGAGAACACTCATATAATTGGCTCATATTCCACTGTTGCACACGCATTTCATTGTTTTGGTGTTCAAAAACGTAAAACTGTCTGCACGATTTCAACTTTAAACATTTTTCGAACACACAGAATATAAACCTATGACTGGACACTTTTAAAAATTCGTGTTTTTATCTCGTTTGTATTTCTCAAGCCAGTTAAGATTTCAATCTCGTACATCCGATAGGAAGTTCAAAAGTCCATTCGAGCTTCAAGTTCGTCCTCGTTAATAGTGCCTTTAAATTGTTCGTCAAATATAATTTCGATATTGAAAGGCCCAACTTCTCATCCGAATTCACAAATTTAAGGTGATCTTAAAATAATTCTTATAAGTAGAATGCAGTAG